TTCATATGCTGCACGAATAATCATCTCCATTGTGACTGATGCTTTCCAATGACTTGTAGTTCTTACCTAACGATAGTATAGCTGCTTTATCTTGAATATTGCCATGTAACATATTTCAGTTTGTGTTGTCAGTATAATTAGTGTTTCATATTGTTTTTATAATATAATACATGCGAAACGTATTAGCGTCTTTGCATTGACTTTGAATGTAATCTGTCGTGCGAAAAATTTGTTTCACGTCCGGTGTGAAAGCAGCTTTATGTTGAGTTTCCTCATCTCTCATAAAAAAGTACTGTTCTTCATCAAAATGGACAGATTGAATTGAAAATTCTGAGGAACTATTGGAATCTGACTCGGATCCCATCGTTGTTGGACGCACAATCACCCACCGTGTACTACTTATGACGTAACCACACAGGGGAGTGCCAGAATCGCTTTCTGTGTTGCTCAGAATGTTTGTTAATGAGGGGGGTGGGGCAAGTAACAAAATATAGCGATTTTTGTTAAAAATTATTTTCTACATTTTTTTTTTTGGGCAGACGATGGGAATTCTTTTAATTGTACCCTTTTATATTCATAAACTTGCTCAGTGCATGTCCTAAGCTTTTTAACCGGTATTTGTTCCCAAAGCGGAAATCCATTTATGGTAAGGGGCATGACAAGGGGCGCGAACAGTGGACCAATCACAAGTGAGTGATCAAGTTGACCAATCACAGCACACTGGGGTTTTCGGGAGAGCAGGATCAGGACTTTCAATGGAGCGTTTCACAGACAGGCTCTGCAGAATAGGCAAGCATGAGAAAACTCAAGTGTTTGTTTAACAATGACGCATTTAAAACTTTTTCCGTAGAGTTCAAGAATACTAGAATGATCAGTGAAAAGTCACATAATAGGTACACTTGAAAGCAAGGTTGATTTCTCACGGACTTGTAGCTTCTACTGGAGCAAATATTGTTGTTTTACAATCTCATTGCTGGTCAGGCTATCTTCGATGGTTACCACATTATGGCTAATAATTACTATTCTAGTTGCAGAACATCACTGGGATTTCACTGCTGGAACGTCACTGCCTAGGTCTATAGCAACTGTAATATTTTAGTAAGTTAATTTATGGTTACATATGAGTAAAGCTCACACAGGCACTTTTTGCGGCTCAAGTATAGAAGTAGTAGACTGGTAATGCAATTATATTTATCCAAGTTATCATGTGAAACAGTGTTTCACTTATCAATTTGCTAATAAGGAAATCATCAATCATACAATAATACAAGTTGTGTTAGTGTGCAGAATATTGTCAGTGTGAAATGGGTTTTGAGGATTATATTAAAAGTGGAAATTTTATGCTTTATGCAAGTAGAGTCTGGTTGTTTACCTGCCAACATGTCTACACAGTCGATACAAATTTACCAGCCACAGACAAAAAATGTTCCAATAAATATCATTTAGGACAGTGATGATATTTTTGTTCTCTTTTCACATTAATAAACACATTTGAAAAATGTTCTTGAACTCAACTGATTATTTTCATTTTTCCTTATTGTTAATTTTGAAATGACATCAATGCCTTTTATTGTCAAAGAGTATATTTTCACATTTGGTCTGTAGTTCCATTGCAAGTTTGGTCTTAAGTTTCGTTTAACCCCTTTGCCTAGATACAGACACCGCGTCCGTAAATTCCGAAATTTAATTATTAAACAATTTTATAATTGAATTTCTAAATGTCTTGCCTCACTGGAATAATTTTCCAGAGTCTCTTTGACACAACTACTGAGTTATTAAGTCTTATTAAGCTCATGCATAACATGAAAAATTTTCATTATTTTGTATTCTGTGCAAAGTGGTTAAGGTGGTATTAAAAAGGTCTTAAAAACTCTTAAATTTAACGTGTTCATACCTGTAGTCACCCTGACAAATACAGAAATACACTCAAATGTATCCAAATGCAGGGCTGGCCCTGGACATCTGGGGACCCTCAGCATGATACTTTTTGGGGGCCCTGCTTTGCCATGAATAGACAGTTAAGTATTCACACAACCAGATACTGTATGCAATTATAACCTTTACGCATTAAATTTACAGTGCTGTGAAAAAGTATTTGCCCCCTTCCTGATTTCTTATTTTTTTGCATATTTGTCACAGATCATCAAACAAATTTTAATATTAGACAAAAATAACCCGAGTAAATACAAAATGCTGTTTTTAAACGATGATTTCATTTATTAAGGGAAAAAAGCTATCCAAACCTACCTGGCCCGATGTGAAAAAGTAATCGCCTCCTAAACCTAATAACTGCTTGTGCCGCCCTTGGCGACAACAACTGCAATCAAGCATTTGCGATAACTGGCAATGAGTCTTTCGCATTGCTGGGGAGGAATTTGGCCCACTCTTCTTTGCAGAATTGTTTTAATTCAGCCACATTGGAGGGTTTTCGAGCATGAATGGCTTGTTTAAGGTCATGCCACAGCATCTCAATTGGATTTAAGTCCAGACTTTGACTAGGCCTCTCCAAAACCTTCATTTTGTTATTTTAAGCCATTCAGAGATGGACTTGCTGGTGTTCTGGATCATTGTCCTGCTGCATAACCCAAGTGCGCTTGAGCTTGAAGTCATGAACCGATGGTCGGACATTCTCCTTCAGGATTTTCTGGTAGAGAGCAGAATTCATGGTTCCATCAATTACAGCAAGTCATCCAGGTCCTTAAGCAGCAAAGCAGCCCCAGACCATCACACTACCACCACCAGGTTTGACTGTTGTATGATGTTCTTTTTATGAAATGCTGTGTTAGTTTTACGCCAGATGTAATGGGATGTACACCTTCCAAAAAGTTTAACTTTTGTCTTGTCAGTCCACAGAATATTTTCCCAAAAGTCTTGGGAATCATCAAGTTTTTTTTTAAGCAAGCGTGAGACGAGCCTTTGTGTTCTTTTTGGTCTGCAGTGGTTTTTGCCTTGGAACTCTCCTATGGATGGACTTTTTGTCTGAATTTGGGCCGGCAGAGTGACGTCAAAGAAGTTGCCGTTACCCTAGTGATAGGCTATCTTCGTTTAAAACAAATCTGCTGGCAAAGTCAAACAGATGCGAACTTCTCTGCACTGAAGCTCTTAATCATTGTTATTCACCATGTGCGTATTTTAAATCCATATTAAGCACGCCTGTATCCATTATTTACTTGAAGATGAGGACTGTATATCAATTACACAAGAACGGATACAACAGTCTTAATCTGTCTGCCTCTATCAATTTCTCAACAACGTGAATAACTTCTGACTGTTGTGTAATGGCAAATATTCACTAATCTGGCTAGACCACTGTGACGCTAATTAATTGTGAGTTATCTATCCACGAAACTTGTAAACACTTGCAATTAGATTATCAAAACACTGCATTCTGGCGGGGTTAAGGTTGAACAACTTACGGAAACATCATAGCTTCTATCCTTCATGCTTGTATGTACTTGGGGTTTTTACATCCCCAGATCCCAGTGGTGGTGTACAGCAACCATATGTCCAGACTTGAAAGCATTTTCGCCTCTTTAGAAAATTTGGAGTTCCATTTCTCGTGCTGTTATACGTCGTTATAGCAAATAACGGCAGCGGCCATAGTACTAATGACATTCTGAGTTGCAAGCTAGCTAGGGCATGCACAGCATATGCATTCGCTATGTCAATATTTAATAACCCCCTTCACACTAATAAAACCTCCCAAAATATATTTCTGCCCCCTTTTAAAATCGTTCCGGCCAATGAAAAGCTGAAAAAAGTGGAGGTTGGATGTGGAACTCTTTCCCTCTATTCACTGCCGTGCACTGTGAGTTGCAGGAGCTCTCGAAACAACACACATTAACCATATCATGGCTAGGTCAGCGTTGTACAGTTCGAGACAGGCAATGGAATTGCATAAAGACATTTTAAATGATCTTATTTCATTAAATTTAAACGATCATGAAAGACACGCATTGTTTCCAACCCCTGAGTAAAGAAAAGCGTGAGAAGTCCGGAGTCATAATTGGTTTCCATATTACTAGTGGTGAAATCCACCGTAACGCCCTTGAAACTGATAAACCTCCATGCACAAGGACTTCAATTCTGCGCGAGAATTTCTTTCATAGTAAATTGTTAGTAATAGTATTGTTTGAAAATGAAATTAACTAATTAAACCCAAAAGTAGATTACCAAGGGGCACATTCTGAAATTATGTGCCTTTGTCACATTTTTCAACTCTTTTGCATGGATGCACCCAAATATGAAATATGCTCAAGACTGTGAAACTGCGCTTAAACCTACCCACATACGTTCACGCGCACACACACACACACACACTACCCTCAGTTCAGCTGAAACCCTGTAAAATTGAATATGACCTTCTAGAAGGTTCAGGTTCTGCTATTGTCATCTCAGTTGAATTTTGTTCTCTTGCGATTTAATAAAGGCATGCTGAAGATGATCAGGGTGTCACTCCAATAATATATATTGAGCTGTAATCTGACTTATGATGGGTGGCTAAAATACAATGAAATATTAATTCTGTCTCCTTGGATCAGTGTGTTTGTATAACAGAAGCCATTTCCTCTGTGCATTTACTACATTTAACAGCTACTTTCATTCATTTTTACTAGAGTCTCCATGTGAAAGTTTGTGTGTGTAAATACAGCTGATGGAGAAAGCAGGTCACTGCAGTGCATTTATTTCATTACTGTAAAATATCATGGATTCAGTTTCATTATTTGCATCATGATTGTTCTGTTTGTTCTTATTGCTGTTATTTACTGTAATTGCAGACAATGATCTTAAGTGATCAAACCTGAATGATAAAAACACAATCGATGACTGTCATGATTTACTGTTGCCTGATGTACTGAACTTCTATGACTGTCATACTTATTTAATGTTTGTGTATCAGCATAAAATGAGAGCATCAAGATGGGGCCAAAATCTGCTCAGCTGAAGCCCTGATGTCTACCAGAGTGACATCAGAGTGTTTGCAGGTTTATCTCCAGTCCGGCACGGTGGCACAGTGGTTAGCGCTACTGCCTCACACACCAAGAAGGTCGTGGGTTCGAATCCGGCCTGGGGCCTTTCTTTGTGGAGTTTGCGTGGGTTTCCCCCTCCCACAAAAAACATGCATTATAGGAATGCTCCTACCAGTGCCCTTGACCAAGGTACTGGCTTTAGAACTGGAGTTGGTCCCCGGGCGCCGCTCTGTGGCTGCCCACTGCTCCTAACTATAGGATGGGTCAAATGCAGAGGATGAATTACCCCTACGGGTGTTCAATAAAGTATATCTTTAATCCCAGAGGGCCACAGTATCTGCAGGTTTAACTCCAGTCCCAGAGGGCCACAGTATGTGCAGGTTTAACTCCAGTCCTGGAGGGCCGCAGTGTCTGCAGGTTTAACTCCAGTCTGGAGGACTGCAGTGTCTGCAGGTTTAACTCCAGTCCTGAAGGACCACAGTACCTGCAGGTTTAACTCCACATGTACGCACTCTCACACACACTCTCAGATCCAAATTCACAAAGAAACACATACACTCAACATATCCGTCTACCCCCCCACCCCTACCTCAGAGCAGGTATGCTCTGCGCCGTGATCAAAACTAAAAGTGGCCCGACAAAATATTATAGTGTGCACTGTTTTTTTTTTTTGTTTTTTTTTTATTGGGAAGTGTATATAATTTTTACAGGCATGTTCTCATGCTGGAAATGTTACTTTGACTGCACGGAACACTGACCATTGTTTGCCGCATACGGCGTCACTGCTTGAAACCAGTTGCGATGTTGCAAATGTTAGTGAAAAACCACTGACGTATATCAAATAGGGTTAGACAAACTTCATCTGCAACAGTTTTCGTTATGTTATTTCAGGAAAATTAAAATGGGAAAATAATAAAATGGATTGAATGAGACAAAGGAGTTAATATTTTTCTTTTCTTTCAGTTTGTTACTTTACTTTCTTCACTATGGCCCGCATTAGCATTATTTTTCTTTCTTCTTCTTCTTCTGATTATAATTATTATTATTTTTTTCTTATCTTCTCTTGCCCTAAATTCTCAGGAACTGTTTGTTTAGTTTTTTTTGGCTGGGCCGCGAATAGCGGCCAGGGCCCTGTAATTTATTTATTTTTTTATTTAACCCTTATTTAACCAGGGAAGTCCCGTTGAGATAAACGCGAATGTGGTCGCTGATTGAGTGAGTGACTGACTGCTTGAGTGATCAAGTATAACGATTGGCTGGCCGGCGGGGAAGAAGTTCAGCGATTGGTCAGCCGGTGGGGAAGAACTTAAACGATTGGTTGGCCGACGATTGGCTGGCTGGCTGGCTGGCCGGGAGTTGATGTCATTCGTATTTAATATGTTTAAGTGTACAAGGGCACTCTTCCCTTTGCAGCACTTCCCGGTGGCGGCTGCAGCATTATGGCATTCTCAATGTAACAGTAACTTTAAACAGAAAAATTAAGACAGAAAAATCAAAACATGAATTGGGTTAAAGCTGTTTTGTACAATCAATGTCTGAAAACTTTGTTTAAAAAATCTGGGTTGAATTTTTTTTACATTTTTAATTATGGCCACTCTTGGCCAGGGAGTCCTGGCCAAGAGTAGCGGCAAAGAGTTTCAGGAAAAAAAAAAAAAAAAAAAACGTACAAAAGCACAAGACAATAGGCACATATTAAAAACACATTGGTCTAGATTAAAACACAGTACTCACACACAAAATATAGACTAGACAAAAAATAGAAATAAAACGGGCATATGTCTAAGTTAGAAACAACGACAGTTTTCTGTAATGGTGGTTTCTAAGAGGTGTTTAAATACGTTGAGAGATGGAAGTGACTCTAGATTTGATACATTTTGGAGCTCATTCCATGTGTAAGGTGCATATGATGAAAAAGATGTTTTGCCAAGTTCTGTACGTGTTTGTGGGATGGTTAGGAGAATTTTTCGTGCAGAACGTGTGGAGTAAACAGTTGAATGGTATGTTAGTAGATTTCTGATGTAAAGGGGAAGTTTACCCATTAATGCTTTTGCAATAAAGATTAAAACATGATATTTCCTTCTCAGAGAGAGTGAAGTCCATTGTACCATTTGATATAAACTGCAATGATGAGTTCTGGCGGCGCGTTTTGCTACAAATCGTGAGAGCTGAGTGATACACAACATCTAATTTTTTTAACAAGGAAGAGGAAGCATGCATATAAATCAAATCACCATAATCTATCACTGCTAAAAAAGTACTCTGTACTAATCTTTTCCTTGCTCTGAAGGGGAAACATCTCTTTAGACGAAAATAAAAACTTAATTTAGGTCTGAGCTTTTTTAACAGACTCTCAATATGGACACCAAAAGAGAGTTTGTCATCCAGCCAGATACCTTGGTATTTGTAGGATTTTACTCTCTCTAATTGAGTACCATCTAGTGTCATTATTTTGCAGTCAGGAGGAGAACGTAGACGTGAGAAGACCATGAATTTGGTTTTTTTGGCATTTAATACTAACTTTGATGTCACTAAAAAGCTCTGCACCTTGTTAAAGGCAGATTGTAAAGAGCTTGTTGCCTCTTGTAGCGAAGTTGCAGAGGTGTAAAGAATTGTGTCATCTGCATAACGATGAACTTTTGCTGGTTCTAAACCCATACCTAGGTTATTTATATAAATAGAAAATAAAATGGGTCCCAGAACTGATCCTTGGGGAACACCCACTTCTACTGTAAGTGGGGTAGAATTATATTTATCTATGGACACACATTGTGTTCTACCAGTCAGATAATTTGAGAACCACTTTAACACTGTGCTACTGGAACCTATGCTTTGCAATCTTTGTAAAAGAAGACTATGGTCAACAGTATCAAATGCTTTAGATAGATCAATGAATAATGTAGCACTTGACTTTTTATTATCTATGGCAGTAATAATGTCATTTGTAACAGAAGTTACTGCCGTAATGGTGCTATATCCTTGTCTAAAGCCAGACTGTGTGGAGCTCAAAATACAATTATCAGTTAAAAAGGCTTTTAGTTGCTCATTTTTAAGGGATTCAAATAATTTGGCCATAACAGATAATTTGGAAATTGGGCGATAATTATCTAAAATGGAAGGATAACCTCCTTTTAACAGTGGGAGAACAATTGCTGATTTCCAAGGACTGGGAATAGATCCACTGCAGACTAAGGTTAAAAATGGAGGAAATAGGCCCAGCTATCAAGTCTGCTGCAGTTTTTAAAAAGAAAGGTTCGATCTGGTCTGGACCAGCAGACTTTTTGCAATCTAGGCTTAACAGCGCCTTACATGTTTCAGAAACGGATATCATTGAAAAATTGAAATTGTTTGAGTGTGTGGGGGGGCCAGCAAATATAGCCTCAGTGCTATCTGGGAGACAGCTCTGTGTGAGTACTCCTGCTTTGATGAAATGTTTATTAAACACATCTACTATATTTTGTTTACCCCTTACTTCACCTTGATTCATTTTTAAAACTTCAGGAATAGACAGAGGTGGAATATCGCCTGAGGAAGATTTTACTAATTTCCAAAATTGTTTGGGGTCATTTAGGTTTTTATTTATCAGATTCAGGTAGTGCTCACTTTTTGTATTTTTTATTAGTTTGGTACGCATATTTCTTAAGATTCTGTAGTCTAGCCAGTTTTTTTCAGTGTCAGTTCGTTTAGCTTTTGCCCAAGCATGATTCCGTTCCCTAATAGCAGCTGCAATGGTATCATTAAACCAGGGGTTATCTCTACCTCTCACTCTGTACTTTCGAAGAGGTGCATGTTTGTTAACAATTAATAAAAAAGTCTTTTTAAAAAAATCCCAAGCCAACTCAACATCATCCATATCAGAGACACAGTTCAAATCACTTTGGTAAATATCATGAAGAAAAGCCTGCTCATTAAAACATTTATAATTTCTTTTAAAAATAAACCGTGGTTTAGTTTTAGGAAGCTTGCAATTTCGAACACAGGCAACCATACAATGATCGCTGATATCATTACAAAACGTTCCAACAGCCGAGTACTTATGTGGAGCATTAGTAAGAACAACATCAATCAAAGTTGACTTGTCCATTTGTTTTAGAGTTAAGTCGTTAATGGCGGCGTATTAGTTGCGTTAGGTGTAGCGCGTCACATAAGTCTCTTAGAGCATGAGATGAAGATGTAGACAGTCAGTCCCAGTTCAGATCTCCCAGGACAATAAACTGGATTCGATAGTTTCTGCAGAAATTCTGACAGCAGGACAGTTGCCCCAGCTGCGGCCGCCTGCGGGCGGTAGCATCCTACCACAGTCAGCTCTGCACTATTGGGGAGATTTAATTTGATTAGCACAGTTCAAAGAACCCGGCTTTGTTATTGCTTCGACACAGCAACAGTTCAACGATGATTTGACATATATCGCCACACCCCCTCCTTTATTTATGCGATCAGCCCTGAAGAGACTGTATCCTTCAATATGAATCATACTGTTAGTGATTGATGGTTTTAGCCACATCTCTGACAGGACCATGACTTTGCATTCTGTCAGTTTAGCCCACAGACGAATATCGTCTATTTTATTTATCAGGCTGCGCACATTGACATGAATAAAACGCAAGCCGCCGGTATTCTTAAGATCATCTGGGTTTGTTAACTCAGTCAGTTCTGGGCCTGGATTGGGATGAATGTTACCAGATAGAAACAGGAGCAGAATAGTCCATGCTGCCTTTGACGAGCGGACAGTGCAAGCCCCGTTCACGCCTGCCATTGAGTGCGGTGGTCTGATACAATCGTATCTCTGTCCACTGGAGCATTTTGTGCTGGTACATATGGCAAGCCGTTTTAACATTTAATAGCTAGACTGGATATGTATTACAGATATCTGTAATTCAATTCTTCCTAGTCAAAAAGAACATTTCAGATATCCACAATGACATTCTTCCTATCCACAATTACTAGGAAAAACTCCTATTTCAGATATCTTCAATCCAATTGTTACTAGTCATAATTTTCATTTCAGATATCCAAAACGAAAAACTATCCCAGATATCCAGAATGTAATTTTGAATATCTAAAATACATTGTGACTAGTAAAAATGTCATTATGGATATCCACAATT